GGCCCGTTGGCGCCGGGCTAACAGCTTCACCACGTCCGCCGCCCTGGACGCCCGCGGCCCGCCCCAGGCAGCCTGGCCTGCGCAGGTGAGCGTCGGGCGCTCCCACTGCTGTGCCTCCCCGGCACCGGCGCACCCTCTCTAGGCTCCGCCCAGGCTGAGGGCTGGGGGTCGCCGCGGCGGAAGAGAGTGCGCACCCTAGAGGTTCGTGCAACCGGGGCCGTGGAGGGGCCGCGGGAGAGCCGGGGGTCCTGTGGATCCGAGTCCCCTGGTGCAGGGAGGCAGCGGGGCTGCTCTCTGGCCATCAACCCTGAGCCGCTGCTGCGGAAAGACGGGCCTGGCTGGTGGGCGGCTGTTAGCTGGGGTGCCCTTCTGCGCCCATCCAGCTTGTCCCTGCACCCCTAGTCGGCCCACGGGCCTCCCGGTCCTGCCCCTAAGCCCCTCCTCACCTGAACCTCACTTTTCCCAGTCTGCTGAATGGGCACTGGCCTGCCCAGGCTCCCAGGAGCCCCAGAGCTGGCTCCGAGCCTGGCCCTGCCCTGGAGCAGGCCCTGGGGACACCCATGACTCAGACGCAGCGGTCCCTGCCCGGGGAGGTGCGGGGTTGAGCACGGCAAGGAAGGGAAAGAAGCCGAGACTGAAGGCACCCAGAGCCAGGATGGGGGACGCCCCGGGAGGAGGGGGAGCCCCGCGGTGGCGTGTCTCCCGGCCCGCCCGGTCAGGGGACTATGAAGTGAGACCAGACGGGTGAGGAAGCCCTGCTGACCACGAGGACCCTTTCTGCGGGTTCCAGGGCGGGGCAGGGCTCTGGTGGGTGCTTCGCACAGGGTCACCAGCGCTGCACCTGATGCCAGGGGAGCCAGGCGGGTCCCCAGCCATGGCCGGCCCAGACTGCTCTGCGTCAGCCCCACCTCCCCCCATCGTGGTTCCCTGCCCTCCTTCCCGGCCCTGCCCCGGCGGCCCCTGCCCCGGCGGCCCCTGCCTGGCGGCCACACACCCTCAAACCAGCACAACCCCTAGCATAAGCCCAGGGCTCACCTGGTCGGTCAGCAGACACCAGCTGAGCAGGTGCCAGCCCAGGCAGGCGCCGCGTGCTGGGTAAGGACACTGGGGCCACTCGGTCACCCAGGCAGGGGACCCGCGCCGGCTGCAGGGCTGCAGGGCTGCAGGGCTGGAGATTGGCGTGGCCGGGGTAGGAGGAGAGGTGACCCTGATGCCAGCCGCAGAGTGTGGTGGACGCAGGCCTGTTATGGTTCAGGGGTCAGCTTGGGACCTCCCCTGGGTCTGAGAGTGTCCAAGGGAGGGCATGTCACCGTGGCTGGCCCTCCAGTGCCCAGGGAAGAGGCTGCAGTAGGCCGTGACGGCGAGGGGAGTGGGGGACACTGTCGGCCAGGGTGGCACTGAGCGGGGGGGGCCGGCCGGGCTGGCACTGAGCGAGGGGGCTGGGGACACTGCTGGCCAGGGTGGCACCTTTGTGACCACGGGCCCCTCCCCGCAGCCCCACCAGCATGGGCCACCCAACCTACGGAGACGAGGACTACGAGGACGATGAGGGGAACTCAGGTCTGAGTCGCGGGCATGTGGGCCAGGCCTCGGGGGCCTCTCCTGGGGCGGCAGGCAGCCCTAGCCGCTTCCGGGACCTCTGGGCTGGAGCCCCGCCTGGGCCTCGGTTACCCCATGTGTAGAAGGGCGGTGGCGGGAACGGTGACCTGGGACCTGCTGGGAGTCTGGTGTGACCGGCAGTGGTCGGTGGGTGGCCGTCCGGCCCACCTGCCCAGGCGCCGTGTGTGGGGTGGCCCTCGGGCGCCCCTCCCCTTTGTTTACAAAGGCTGGGCATCCCCCGGGCCTGGCCCCCGGGACCCACTAGGCCCTCGGGGTGTCGTTAGGGTGTTTGTGTCGGGCTGCAAGGCGGGCCTCTCCCCCAGCATTCACCTGGGAGGTGAAGGCCAACGACCGGGCCTACCATGCGCGCTTCAAGGAGAAGGTGTTCCTGTGCTGGCGGAGGGACAAGTACAAGGTGGGCACCGCAGCTGGGGCCGCCCCACCCGGGCCCGCCCCTGGCGCCGGGCTCTGCTCTGAGTCCCGCCTGCGCCCCGGGAGCCCCGCTCCAGCCGGGTGGGCGTGGGGCCCCTGCCTGGACTCCTCCAGGTGTCCTGGGCGTCGTGCCTGGGGAAGCCCCGGGCTTGCGGCCCGCAGCTCTGTGCTCCCCAGTCTGGGCGCTCGCGGGCCCACGGCGAGGTGGGTGGGCAGGCAGCGTCTGCGGCTCTTCTAGACCAACGTCATCCACACCGCCAAGTACAGCGTCTTCTCCTTCCTGCCGCTGAACCTGTACGAGCAGTTCCACCGCCTGTCCAACCTCTACTTCCTGCTGGTCATCGTCCTGCAGGTGACGGCCCGCCCGGCCAGCCTCCCGCGGGGTGAGCCATCGGGCTGCACGGGTGCTCTGGGGCCGAGGAGGGCGCCCTCTGCCAGCAGGGCGGGGGCTCCGGTGGGCACGGGCCTCCCGGGGCTGGACGGCCTCGGCTGCCGAGCTCACCCGAGGGGGCCCAGGGCGGCCTCTCACGCCACTTTGACCCATCGAGTCCCTAAACACGAACCGAGCTTCGACAGAGTTCCCGGCCGCGGACCCAGTGGGACCCTGGCACCATCTGGAGGTGGCTTGGAGTCTGGCCGGGCGGTCTGGGGGCTGCATGGAGCTCAGATCAGAAGGGTGGCAGGAAGAACAGGGCTGAGGGAGGGGTGGCACTGAGGCCCGAGGAGGGCCAAGCTGCAGGCCGGAGGGCTTTCTGGAGGAAGCGGCATGGCGGCTGGGCTTGGCAAACACCGGTTTACTGAGAAGATGAGGCACTGTGGAGACCCTGAGGGGGTTGCCCTGAGCCGGGGTGGCCTGCCGAGGGTGGGCGTGTGACCCTCTGCACGGCAGGGCATCCCCGAGATCTCCACCCTGCCCTGGTTCACCCTCTTCGCACCCCTCGTGTGCCTCATCGCCATCCGTGCGGCCCGGGACCTGATGGATGACATCGTGAGTGTGGCGGCAGGGCTGGTGCCGGGGCGGCAGGGTCCCCAGGCCCAGGACACTGAGCAGAGGGCTATGCCCGTGGGCCCTCTGGCCACGTGGTCTGGTGGCCGTTATGGTTGGGGCACACAAAGTGCCGTGGCCACGTGGTCTGGACTCCCTTCTGATTGGGGCACCCGGGGAGTGCTGTGGCCGCGTGGTCTGGACTCCCTTCTGGCTGGGGCACCCGGGGAGTGCTGTGGCCGCGTGGTCTGGTGTCCCTTCTGGTTGGAGCACCAAGCAGTTCCATGGCCACATGGTCTGGTGTCCCTTGTGGCTGGGGCGCCGGGCAGTGCCGTGGCCGCCTGGTCAGTGGTGCTGGTTACCAGCTGCAGCTGGCAGGTCTTGGCAGTCCTGGAGCCAGGGCCACACCCTGACCTGTCGCCTTGCTCCAGGGCCGGCACCGGAGTGACAAAGCCATCAACAACAGGCCCTGCCAGATCCTGACCGGGAGAAGGTGAGGCCAGTGGCCCGGTGCTGGGTCCCTCCCAGGCACAGACTCCGGCACAGCCGGGCTTGGTGTGTGGGGAGGCAACATGAGCCTGGGTGTGGCCACAGGGTCGCTGCACTGCTCGTAGGCCTCTGAGGAGGGACGCGGGAGGTCTGGGGAGGCTTCCTGGGGGAGGTGGCAACTGGTCTGGAGATGGGAGCTCTGGGAGGTGGCATGGACCCCGGGCCTCCTCCCCGGGCTGGCGTGGGCAGTGGGCCTCTCGACCTCCCTCCCGGCAGCTTCTCACGGCAGCGGTGGAAGGACCTGCGTGTGGGGGACGTGGTCTGTCTCAGCAAGGACAGCACCGTCCCGGTGAGTGGCCGCCGGCCCAGGAGCCCCTGCCCACGCCCTGCCCGGCCGCCGTGCGGCCCAGCCATGCCGTCTCTGCCCACAGGCTGACCTGGTCCTGCTGGCCAGCTCGGAGCCCAGCAGCCTGTGCTATGTGGAGACGGCCGACATTGACGGGTAGGGACGGGTCTGCCCGGGCCTTTGATCCCGAGTGCAGGGTGCGGGTCGGAGCAGGCCAGGGGGGCCCACCTCTGCCCTACTACGTGCCTGAGGGTGAGAGGCCCAGGCCCTGGCTCAGCCCGCTGGCAAACATGCAAGCCTCAGCCCTCCGACGGGCAGCGGGCACGCGGGTGTGGGCCGAGGGGTCGGACGGCTCCTGCCAGGTGCAGCTGGCTCCTCGCAGCCTTCTCACCCTCCCCCCCTGCTTGTTTCCAGGGAGACCAACTTGAAGTTCAGACAGGCCCTGATGGTCACTCACCACGAACTGACCAGTACCAGGAAGATGGCATCCTTCCAAGGTAAGGCGCTGCACTGAGCGGGGCGGCATCTCGCCAGCCCCCTGCACCCCTGCCCTCTGCCGGGGAGGTGTGAAGGCCCCCCTCACTGGGCACAGGTGGCCTCGCTAAGTTGTTCGCTCATTCCAGCCGGAGGTCTGGAGAGCTTCTAAAGGCGGGCAGGCCCCTGCCGGCCTCATGTCCCCTGGATCGAGGTTACAGTGGGCTTTTTCCTCAGTATCATTGCTGTGATTATTAGTAGGTGTTGGGTTTTATTTTATTTTTTGAGAGATTGTTGCTGTAGGGTGTGCTCACCCGAGAGAGAAAGTGAGAAATCACTCCTGGGGGGATGGCCATGCCGCAATTCCTTCTTCTCTCCTCTCCTCCTGGGATTCCAGACACGCACGCACACGTGCCTGGTGTGAGGCTCAAGCTGCTAGGTCAGGACCTGCACGGTAGCTGGCCATGTGGGAGTCCAGCATTTTAACCACTACACCACCCACTGCCCTTAAATTTTATTTTGGAAACAGATGGCAGTGACACAAACCCTTGTGGTTGTTTCATTGAAAAGGTTGCCCGCATGCATAGGCTGGCATCAAGTGGTGAGAAAGACTCAGAACAGGACGTCCCCCACCCTCCCCGCCTTTGCAGTTTCTAATTTTCATCCTGGAGACATTTCGCATACAATGTGGAGACAGTTACTGTTTGCTGTGTTCCAACAAAGGGGTGCGGGTTTTGTTGTTTTCCTGTCTCGTTGCAAAGGCAAGTTAACAGTTCTTTTTCCTGTCTTGTTGCAAAGGCAAGTTACTCTAATTGGTTTAGGAGCGTAGGTTTTCTCTTGAACCACAGATGCCTTGCTGCTCACACCCAAGCACTGATCTCCCCTGTCCATCCTAGTTCAGATGGAGCCCAGCCACATTGGTCCTCTTTTATTAAACTTCGTAAAAAAATGATTGTTTGAAATTTGTTATAGGGCACGTACGAGAGAAAGAGAAAGTGAGAAAGTAAGCTGCCATTGGGACCAGCAGTTAGCATAATGCTGTGTGGCTGGACTCCCACGTAGTCAACCGCAGTTCGCATCCCGGACCTGGTGGCTTAAGCTCACACTGGGCGCGTGTGCATGCGTGCCCAAGATCCCGAGAGGAGAACAGAGGAGAAGGGATTGCGGCGTGGCCATCCCCCCGGGGGTGATTTCTCGCTTTCTCTCTCTGTCTGTCTGGCGAGTGCACGTGCCCTATAGCAAAAACCTCTCCCCCCAAAAAGAGAGAAAGTAAGCTGCCAGGTCTGAGACTCGAACCGCAGTTGGCCACGTTACCACCCCCCAGCTGGTGGCCCATCCTCTCTTTTAACTATCCCGACAGCCCCAGAACTCAGCCGGCGTTACCTGCTTTTGGCCCCGTGGGAAGACGGGCTCAGAGAGAGGGGGCGACTCCTGATCTAGCGCTTCCCACCAGATCCCAGGGGCGCCAGGATGCTCGACAAGGACGCGGTCTCAGGACCCTGTCCACCCTGGTTCAGCTGCCCCAGTACCCCCCAGGGCGTGGCCCATCTTGCAGAGGAGGCCGAGCTTCGGAGAAGTGGCAAGGTGCAGGCTTGCCCTCGCTCTTTGCCCCTGGCCCAGGCCGCCCTGAGGACCAAGCTAGGCGGCCGGCCCCGAAGTCAGAATAGGGCAGGTGGCATGGGACCCCAGCCACACTCCATCGCTTTTTTTTTTTTTAATTTGTTTGTTGTTTGTTTATTTTAATTTGACAGAGAGGGACAGAGTGAGAGAAAGAGGGAAAGTGAGAAAGCAAGTTACCAGGTCTGGGACTCGAACCACAGTCGGCCTTGTGGGAGTCCAGCCCCCAACCTCCATGCCACCTGCCGGCCCATCATCTTTTGTGTTTTTACAGAGATTTTTGCTATAGGACACGTGCACTTGCTGGAGAGACAGAGAGACAGAAAGTGAGAAACCACCCCCAGGGGGAACGGCCACGACGCAACCCCTTCTCCTCCATTCTCCTCTCGGGACTTGGGGCATGCACACACACACGCCTGGCATGAGTTTTAAGCCACTGGTCCGAGACTCAAACTGTGGTCCACTACGTGGGAGCCCAGCAATGTAATCACTGTGCCATCTGCTGGTCCCATCGGCCACTGTCTCATTTCTCTCCTCTGAGAAGAGGGACAGAGAGCACCCGCCAGGGTCTGCAGGGTGTCACCCAGCCCAGCCTCGGCCGGCCAGTGCAGGTCACAGACACGTGTGCCTGAGTGTTCAGGGAGGCCTCTGCACGTGACCTGCCTCCCCATGGGTCTGCAGACACAGTTACACTGTCCGCCCCGTTACTGTCACCTGAACTGTCCCCAGGCACTGTCCTGGGCCAGTCTGTGCATCAAGTCCGTTTCCTCGAACAGAGGGGAGGACACAGTGTCCTGTTGTAGGGTGGCAGAGGACAGCCTGGCACCCAATAGGGACAAGCTGCAGGGCAGGTCCCCGTGTTGGGCATCCCTCCTCCTTCCCTCCTCACTAAGTGCCTACTGTGCGCGCCTGGGCGAGGCTGGAGCCAGCTCTCAGCTCAGACACTGTCCCATGTGGCACACCCCGGGGTTGGACCACGGGGCAGAGGCTGGGCAGGCGAGGGGCACCGAGTGGGTGCATTCTGACCTGCCAGGCAGGGTGGGAGGCAGAGTCCTGGCAGAGGGGACAGTGAGTGCAAGGGCCCTGTGGCCGGGAGGGCCAGCCTTGGACATTCCAGAGGAAGCCTGCCCCCCCCCCCCCCGG